TCAAAGTTGTAGATATCCTGGTCTAGCACACCGTACGTCTGGCGCGTCTCTTCTACCAGCTTAAACCACGCTGCGATTGCGATAGGATCCTCAGAGAGAGCGCGCTGGCTATTAAGCCTTCTACTCCACCTCGTCTGAAGCTCTGGCTGACTCTGGACAAAGCGCGACACCCAGTTCTTGCCAATAGGCCGTGGAGGTGGATCTTGGCCGCGGGCAGCGAGTAGAGCGTCTACCATCCGTCGTACGTCGATGATATGGGGTGGAAAACCACGTCGGTCAAGCTCTAGAATCCACTGTACAAGAGACTGCTCCTCAATAGGCGATAGCTTGCGGTTGACAGAGGCTGTCTCTGATCGCGCCTGGATACCATGAAGACGTCGTTGGAGCGTTGACTTTGGCACGTCGTACGCTGCTGCGAGTGCGCGCACAGATTGTTTTTTATTATTACGATAGGATGCTATAGCAAGACTTATTCTACCTTCACAAGAAGTCTGTATAGAGCGTTGTTGTCGCGGCATGGTGGTTGTAGTGCAGAGCGTCGGGTCGAGTTTGGTGGGGTGCCCAGCCTACTGATCTGCCCAGCTTACCTACCTACTGACCTTGCACGTTAGGTGACTGTAGCAGCTCATTGCTAAGTTTAGAATCAAATCATTATTTTGTACATTGTTTCAAAATATGCATGATACACATGTTCATAGTAATAGATTGAGAGACACTTATCGCTTCCGTTTGAATGAAGAACTGAAGCTAATCTTTAAAATACGTTGCTTGTTACGACTACCACTTGGGCCTACATGACCCTAATATCTTCGAGCGTGCATCGGATAGTTGCAAAACATTCCTACTATAAGCTCGAGGTAATTCGATTATTCTTATGGCTTGAACAATCCGAATACTTCTATTTTACCCTTCTTTAGGATCATCGTGGTTAGTATGTCGCGCGTTAGCGCTGTGATTGTTTTTAGTGCGGTTCCTACAAAGTTGTTACATTCGTAGATATAGAGTACGTTACTCAGTCTTCATGTAAACAACCCAGATGAAATATAGCAAACAGCAAGCCTTTTCACATTATTTTGTTTGATAAATGATTGCAGCAGGTGGCAGTAGTAGACTCTTAGGTGTTGACATCCCCCCTTGCAGCAGTCTCGCACAGGGCCCGGAATTTCGAGTCAGTTGTCTTTAGGAGGGTTTTCGGATGACCGTCCTCAACTATCTCGCCTGAATCTAAGACAATCACGCGATTGAAGAACCCTTCTCCATACACACCTGCCTCTCTATCTTTTTCGCTATCCCAATTCTCCATAAAACTTACTAGACTGTGCGTGATCGCAATGACTGTGTATCCAGGAAATGAACGCTGTATAATATCCAAATACTGTTTTTCCGTTTCCCAATCCATAGATGAATTGAATTCATCCAGAAGTAAAATACCCCCGAATACGTCGCCTCGAGCTGTCGCAAGACAAGATTGGTTGGATGGCTTAGGCTGAGACGAGCAGTATGATTCGGAATTGCCTTCCACTGTATGGCTGTGCGACTTGATTCCCTTACGCTCCTGTACATTAGTTTCAAGATGCGATTGAGTGGTGGACGGCACTTCGATTGTATCAGTCAGTTGCAACTCTCTGTCCTTTGCAATCTTTCTCAAAACTGCTCGAGCAACGCTAAATAGCTGTTTCTGACCCGGGCTAAGTTCTCCGGGCTTCGCAGCTGCTTCTAGTCCGCCTTGACTATTGACCAAAGACCAAAGGCTCATATCTTCCAGAACTGAATGTATTTCTGTCGCCGTACAGGTCCCGAGTAGACCTAGGTTTTCCTGCCAGGATGCTCCGGGTGGAAGAAAGATAGGGTCTTGAGGAACAGTGATAATACGTTCCGGTAACACAGCTTGGTTGACAGTACGTACTTCGAGTCCATCAATAACGATGGCATCGGAGTTCGTGCTCGGTAACGGCTCGAGTAAGCCCAGTAGAAGCAATATCAGGGACGACTTCCCACTAATTTGTGAAACAAATCTGGACTCAGCTTTTGCCACTTGCAGAAAAAAGACTCAGATTCTTGGAATTTGCACATACCTACCAGAACGACCACAGATAGCAACACGCTGGCCAGGTTCCACAACCAGCCGTATGTCTTTCAACGCTAGAATGCTAGATAGGGTGTTTGATTCATCTGCCGTGATTCTATGAGGCCTTAGCATGTTCTTCATCAAAATCTAAGTGCCCTAGGTCTACCTGCATTGAATAAACGCTGATTTTTGACCTAAAATTGAATGTAAAAAAACCCCCACTTACCTATAAGACGCTGAAACACCATCGAGCTTTATATGGCCTTTGGAGGGCCAAGAGAGAGGCGGTAACACGCTACGGTTTTCAACTGTCGCAGAGACTGAACACTCAAGTGATTTCAGTCGATGCACAGCGCCCATGGAAGTTTCAAGCTTCGCATACGCTTGCATGGCTGATGCTAGGATCTGGCCGAACTGTAACAGCATGACGAGGCCTGAACCGGCAAAACCTGATCCGCGATTCTCAAGCTGTGTAACAAGCGTAACAACGAAAACGGCCAAAATCATAACGATAAGATTGAGTGCGAACAGTAGCCAGTATTGCACCATAGCCAGCAGGTAAGCTGGGCGTTGAGATGTCTCCAGAAGTCGGTTGTTCTGATCCTCGTATAGCTTCGACAATTGTGCGGCACGTATCATTGCGATACCTCGGCCTACGTCTAGAAAATGCATACTGTTGTGAAGATGGTTGTCAATAAACCGTTGTAAAAGAGCTGGCACGATCAAAAGAAAGTACTTACTACAGAGGACTTTTGGCCTCAAGTGCTAAAATACGAAGTTGTCGAGACGTGCGCAGATAAAGCTTTACGATCGCATACATAATGGCAACAACGGCTGGATATATCGTGGCCAGATAAGGTGAAGAAGCGGCAAGGACGCCTGCCATTCCAAGCGATATAGCTAGATCGCAGGCAAATTGAACAAGCGATCTTGGTAGTTCACCATCGACAAGCGACATATCTTGAGAAAAATAATTGGTGAGCGTTCCCTGATCAGTCGTGTGGAAAAGAGATAACGGGGCTCTCATAATGGCAGTAAATATTGAAGAATGTAGTGAAGCGCTGGAAACAAGAGAGATCGACGTTACTGCAAGGTACATCGTGAGGAACCCTCCTAATAGACACAATACGTGGAAAGCTCCATAAATACCCACCCAAAAGGCGTTAGTATGACTCTGGTGCTTTGATATAGTATCTTTGACCCAGAAGTTGAGCCAGAGAGTCGGGAAGGCGAAGAAAAAGCCATAGAAAATGGATGAAGCAATGAAAGCTGCTAATGTTACCACAGAAACCGCTTTGAAGTAGTGACGATAATTAACCAGGCCTCCTGACCAAGCAACAACATGACTGATGCCATCAGATGCGGGTCCATCGATGGCAGCCTGACCGTTCTCGCTGACTTCCAGTTGATGTACTAGGGACTTCTTTGTCCTGATGTCTTGGGTTTCTGCAGTATATCCAGATTTTGTTTTATTCCCTACTTCTGCCCCTGCTTCTGTTATTGAGGAGGTCACACTGGGTTCTCTGATGCCCAAACTTTGCACGTAGCCATCCTTGCACTTGAGCATTTCCCACTTGCCCTGCTCGAGAATTTCTCCTTCCTCATTTAGAACGATGATTGCGTCTGACATCGGAAGGTACATGGTCGAATGCGTGCAAAGGATTACTGCTGCTCCATTGCACCTTGTTTTCAGCAGGCCTGAGGGTCCAAAGACGTGGCGGAAGACATGATCTTCTGTTCTGGCATCAAGACCGCTCAAAACATCGTCAAAGATGAAGGTATGAGCGTCCGAGTATAGCGCCCGGGCTATGGCTATGAGCTGTTTTTGACCTCCACTAAGCAATAGGCCGTTGCTTCCCACTACCGTGTTGTGGCCATCTGGTAGCGCAGCCAAGTGGTAAGAGAGCCCTGAGGCTTCGATTACCTCAAGATACCGGGACGGGTTCCATGGCAAGAAGTGAGTGACGTTGTCGCGTATTGTACTGTTTAGCAAGAACGGCGTCTGATCACAGTACGCAATCTTGCCCTCACCTGCTCCACCGAAAAAGACTTGACCAGCCAAGGGGCGTAATTGTCCCAGCAACGCCTTGCACAGTGTTGACTTTCCCGATCCCACCGGACCTATAATCATTGTCAAGGCCGCATATTTGATAGCCAGACTGATGTTTCGAAGGCAAAGCTGGCCATCTTTCTGCCATCTGAAATTACCTTTAACCACTCGGAAAGCGTACTCATAGTTCTCGGATGGCGATACAGAGCTGTCTTTGATCTTTTCCAGTCGTATTTCCTCTTTCTCCCGCCAGTCTCCCAACGGCTCTAGCTCTAGATACGTTTGAATCCGATCGAGACACGCCAAGCCAGACATGAAAGGAGCTACTGATTGAAACAAGAGACCAAGTGGTGCCGTGAGAAGCGCAATAAGAGCAACAACGGAAAATATATTTGGATTTGCAACAGAGTTGGATGTAGCTGCAAGCGTAATAACCGGCGCAATTAGTTCAGGTGTGAGAGAAAGAGTCATTGCCGTAATTTGTAGCATCCGAACACCACGGCTGGCACGAAGCTCACTTGTTCTCGCTTCGCGTATCTTTTGATTAACAATGGCAGCGAGTCCAGAGATCTTAACCTGCTTCATGCTTCCAAGCACATTGGCGATCATGGCAACGCGCTTTTGCGTTTCCTGCATCCAAGCCTTCTGAAAGCCGCCGATGAATTTGCCTACAGTGACTAGAGCAAAAAAGCATACTATGACCAGACCAATGGGAAGTGCGAAGAATGCCTTCAGCCGGGTCCATAAGATCCAGCTAACGATAATCGTTTGCATCAGACTTGCCCATAGCTCGTGAAAATTGAGGAAGCCCGCCAATATCCGTTCGATATCAGTGCTCATGAGGGTTATCGCTTGGGACTCTGCGAGAGTTGCCACACTCAGCTCAGTGGTTTTGTGAAATATGCCGCTAGCCAAACAACTGCGTGTCATATAGAGGAACCTTTGATGGCAGTACCAGTACAACGACGTACAGAGAGCGATACCGATGTATATCAAGATCGTTGCTCCAATCAGGCCATAACCATTGTGATCAGATTTCTGTTCGGCGCTCAGAAAACTCGTGACTGCCTCTATGAGAAAGGCTTGGCTGATGCTCAAACCGATCAACGCTAATCGAGGTACGATAGGAAGCAGAAGAGGTACTGGTAAGGTTTTGATAAGGCTTTGGAATAGTGACATTCCGCTTTCCTGATTGGCTTCTGGTGATTGTTTCGAGTGGCCTTTGATATTCTTCAGAAACCTTGCATGCAAGGCTTCGGCTGCCATAGCCTCATCTAGGATGGGCAATGAGTCGAGTTGAAGAGGATTTCGATAACCGGATAGCAAGAGCCGACCAAGCCAACTGAAAGTACCTAACTTGTAGATTCCGCAGGCACTATCTAGGCTCTTTGTAGCCCGATCTTGCTGTAAAAACGATTTTTTCTTTGAACGAGACTCTAAAATAGCGAGAACTGCCTTGCAAACAACAGTAGCTGTATGAAATCGTGTGAATATTGCATCCAAGTTGGAGGATGCACTAAGCCATAATGTCCGATTGTGTGCCATGTCTAGAAGAAGAGTAAGGCTCAAGTACACTTCGAGAATCGCAGACGGCCTTCGACGTCTGGTATGTTCAAAGTGGGATATGGCAACCAATATTAGCGCGTCGCTTGTGGTCAAGATTTGCGCGCATAGAAAGAGAGCAGATAGCTCAAATCGCGTCGTTCCTCGCGTGCTCATGACCAAAAGAGTCATCTGAAGGATGAGATTGACGAAGCATATAACCTAAAATCACAGTGAGCAACAACTAATATATGAGCTGAAAGAACCGGTAAAATCAGTACTAGCATTAGGGGAATGCTTACCTGCTTCGACGCGTAAAGCCAAGATCGCCAGACTGCAATAATAGGCTGTAGGTAAAGCGATGTTATCCTCGGAACTGCCAAAATCAAAAAGATAGCTGAAGGAATGGTGGCGAAGAAGAGCAGTTCGAATTTCAACGTGAAGTCGAATCCGTTGCGACAACCATTTACACTAGGACCAAATGATTTGTCGCTGATGCAATCTGCGAAATCCATCGTGGTAGCAGTTCAGATGTTCGCTCGCGCCTCCTGCTCCCGCGTTCGCAAATATGATGTAGGGTTGGCTCCAGAGTTGACAGGAGTTGACTACTATTGGAGGGTAATGTCAGTGAGTCTCAACCCTAGAGAAATGTCGAATTCTAAGCTACTGCTCATTGCGAGTCCGATCTCTTGCATGGACACTTGCCAGAGCATCTTCACGCTCGGACCTTCGGCGTGGTAGATACGAGTATCCGGCAGCTCCATGCTTAGCCTAATCTGGTATCCGAGGTCACATGAGAGCCATTCTAGAACAAAATATTGTTAGCACCCACATCCATGATTAGGTCCATACACCATGACAATTCCCGTAGCTCTATGTGTTCTTTCACTGTCATGCGCCATAATCTTATGCGTACGAGATATCACAAACTTGATAAAATGCTTCAGCTATTTATTGAGCCTTAGCGGATTATGGTATTTTTGGAAGGGGTTCCTTTGGCCACTGTATTTCTCGCCGCTGAGGCAGTTGCAATCAGTACCTGAGAGTGGTTGGTTCAGTGCAGAAACCTTGAGACTGTACACCGAGCCCAGAGGGGTTGCACAGTGCGAATGGTATGTTTATTCAGCTTGGCTTGTCGCATGTTGATTTAGCTTACGTATTTACACCGTAGGGTAAATAAGCTTAAAGATGTGCCAGAAGGTTTGGTACGCTATCGGTCTCTGTTGGGCTTCGAAAGACTTCTTATTGTCTCTCCAGAGGCACTCGCCGATGTTCTCGTGACTAGGAGCTACGAGTTTCGAAAACCGCCCTTTGTTGTAACATTACTGAGGCAGATCCTTGGTAGGGGCATTTTGTTAGCAGAGGGAAATGAACACAGGATGCAGCGGAAGGCGCTGCTGCCAGCATTTTCCTTTCGGCATGTCAAAGAGTTGTACCCTGTTATGTGGCGTGTCGGAGAAAGTCTAACAAGTGTTATAGCCAAAACGCTTCAGCACGAAACGCCAACAAGGCTTAACATGTTAGACTTTCATTTAGGTGGGCATCACGCTAAAATCAACGATGGGATGGTCACTGTGAACATCGCAGACTTAGCCAGCCGAGCCACACTCGATATCATAGGTGTTGCAGGTATGGGTCAGGACTTCGGGGCCATCCGTAACCCCAGTAACAACCTTCACCAAGCATACAGCCTCCTTGTTCAATCCTCTAAACAAGCTACTTTTATCGGAATTCTCCGGCTTGTATTTCCAGATTGGCTTGTAAATCATCTTCCTTTGGAGAGAAACACCCAAGTAAACCTCGCGATACAACTTGTTCGTTCATCATGTCAGGAGATGATTCGAGAGACAAGGTCGTGTGAGAAGGATCCGGGATCGAAAGCTGATGTCGATATTCATGATAAGAATATACTCACTGTGGCTGCCGCCTCTGGAGCCTTCACAGACGAGCTACTTGTTGATCAACTCATGACTTTCCTAGCAGCAGGTCATGAAACCACCGCCACAGCCCTGACCTGGGCTATCTACATTATTTGTGTATACCCAGATATCCAAGACAAGCTCCGCGATGAAGTCTGGTCTCACCTACCCAGGTATTCACCGACATCCAAGAGCATTCCTAAAGACCTCAGTACTATAATAGACTCTAAGATGCCGTACCTTAACGCGGTTTGTCTCGAGGTATTTCGCTACTTCTCTCCTGTACCTGTTACTTTCAGGGAGGCTATTAAAGACACTTACATCCTTCATACGCCTGTACCTGCTGGGACTTCGGTCGTGCTCGCCCCACGCGTCACCAATCGCCACAGTACTCTCTGGGGCCCTGATGCCCACATATTCAACCCTGATCGTTGGATTTCTCAGGAAAAACAAGAAGCGATAATTAGCACGGTCTCTACCCCTATCGGCTCTTCCAAAGATTCTAAGAGTGGCGGGCTACAAAATGGAACGGACAAGAAGGGGACTGGGCATCGAAACAATTTCGCCATGATGACATTTTTACATGGGCCAAGAAGTTGCATTGGGCAGTCATTCGCCAAGGCAGAACTTGCTATCTTGCTGGCGTCTTTAGTGGGGAAGTTTGAATTTGTGTTGGCAAAAGAAACACCTATAAACGAGAAGGAAGTCAAAGTATCGAGGGGTGCTACAGCAAGACCAGAAAAGGGACTCATGGTCCAAATCCGAACGGTTGAACCTGAGTGAGACATTTGCGTGAGAGTTGTGTGTTAGTTAATTTGAGATTTACTCTGATAGAGCTATCTTCTAGTCAAGTAACCCCAGAATCGTTAGCCACATCTCCTCCCTACCATCCTTAAACTGTTCCGCTTACTGCTTAGCAATGAAAATCCTAAGCGTTTATCATGATCGATGACCGATGCTTGAGATTGGCAAAAGAGACTTCATTGGGAAGGCCCGCCTAGAAATGGATCTCTTTGAAGCAAATAGGAGTTTCATCGGCATTGATCTGG